GGCTCCGGCAGATCCCGGCGGGCGCCTTTGACGGGCTGCCAGAGCTGCTGGAGCTGGGGCTGCACCAGAACCAGCTGGAGATGCTGTCCCCGGATCTCTTTGTGCACAACGGGAACCTGCAGAAGCTCTACCTGTCCAACAACCTCCTCACCGCCCTGCCAAGCGGCATCTTCTTGCCCCTGCACGCCCTTGCCAAGATCACCCTGCACGTCAACCGCCTGCGGGACATCTCCCCCAGCGCCTTCGGGCCCGCGCCTGACCTGCGGGAGCTGTGGCTCTACGAGAACGAGCTTTCCACCCTCCCTGCTGCTGTCTTCAGCAACCTCACCCAGCTGCAGCTCCTGGTCCTCAGCAAGAACCGCCTGCGCTCGGTGGCACCAGGGGCTTTCCGGGGCTTGGGGGAGCTGCTGGAGCTGTCCCTGCACTCCAACACCCTGCGCCGCCTGGATGTCCAGGCACTGGAGGGGCTGCCCAAGCTGCAGAACATCTCCCTGCACCACAACCAGCTGCAGGTGCTGCCACGGGGCCTCTTCAGAGCCACCCCAGGGCTGCAGTACGTGCAGCTGCACTCCAATGCCCTGGAATACCTACCCACTGGCATCTTCTCCCCCCTGGCAACCCTGCGAGAGGTGAAGCTGCACAACAACTCCTGGCGCTGTGACGAGGGCATCCTACCCCTGAGGAGCTGGCTGGAGGACAACCCCCACAAGGTGTGCGATACACCCCCCCTCTGTGCCCAGCCCCCCACACTGCGGGGCACTCCCATTTCTGTGCTGCTGCGGGACCAGCTCCTCCCTCCCTTACCCTCCACTGCCTCTGCCCATCCCAGCACCCCGCACCCAGCTGACCCCTCTGAGGTGGCATCACTGGAGAGTGATCGGACGGAGCCCCCCATGGGGGTGCCGGTCTCCCCACGGGAGGAAGAGGAAGAGGCAGAGGAGCAGGGCTGGTGGGGGCTGACGCGCATCCAGAGCGGGGTGGTGGTGGCGGTCATCGTGCTGGTGGGTTTGGCCCTGCTCGCTGCTCTGGTGGCACTGGTGGTCTACGGCTGTAGGAAGAAAAGCCACGTCGTGCTCATGAGGATGAAGGCGCCCAATGAAGCCTGAGCACATGGCAGAGCCTGGGGGGAACGGTGCTAGAAGATCATGCCCTTCCCATGGGGCCAAGGGACATGACAGTGGCTCTGTATCAGCTGCCCTTGCTGACTGGGACAGACAAGCATCACCCTGAGTGCAGTGTGTCCCCCTGTCCTGCTCTGCTTTGCCCTGCCCCTGCTCTGCAGCAGGGTGTCCCCCCCAGGTGACCTCCCCTGGCTGTTCTTTGTCCCCAGACCTTCCTGCCTCCAGTGCAGCCTCTGTGCCCATTCTCTGCCTGGTGGGTAGCAGCTGGCACGTGGCGTGCTGAGAGGGACCACTCGAGCAGGCACCCACAGCCTGACCATGATGGTGCTTAGCCCAAACAACTGGACATTCCCATCCTTCACCTGGCATCATCCCCTCCAATGGTGCCTGCCCTTGCACTTGTCTGCTGCCTGACCCCACCTCCTCTTCCCCATTTTTTACCCCCCTGTCATGCCCCCAGCCTCTGCCCCCTTGCCTGGGTAGGCAGTTGCTAGCCAGGAGCCAAGTGAGTTCCTTTGCCCTCAGCAGCTGCATGTCCATGAGCTGCTTTGCAGCTCACCTGCATCCCACGGGGCTGGGATGTCTGGGCCTGGTGCTGCTGCTGGGGTGGCACACCCTGGGTGACTTGGCTGTCTCCAAGCTGCTCTCCCTGCCTGCAGGCAGGGCAGGCCAGAGCACAGCCAGCATCTTCTGCTCCCCCCACCCTTTGTGCATTTCCTGCCAGGATTGCCACAGGGCAGTGTGCTGGCATGTGGGGACAGTGGCAGCCCCCTCAGCCCTTGCTGTACCCTGGTGCTAACCCTCCTGTGGTGCCTGCAGCACCCTGCCACAGCCCCCGCGTGGCTCCCACCAGCCTCTGCTGCCAGGGAGTTAAAGGAGTGGGACGATGGGTGTGAAGTGTCTGCCAAGGGCTGGGAGAGGCCCCATGCCTGTGTCTCAGGGCTGCTGGAGCATTCCAGGGCTGCTCCTGTGGCACTCCACCCCTGGTTCTTGCTGCCTGGATACCCTTGTGCATCCTGCACCAGCTAGTGAGCAGCCTGGCCAAACTTCTTCCTCTGCCTCCCTTCAGTGCCCTCTTGTATGTTCCAGTCCTGCTGCCTGCTCAGAGACCCCAGGCAGGGGGACACTGGCTCTGCACAGTGGGGTGTCAGCCTGCATTGGCTCCTCTACAATTGGCAGGTGGGTGTCAGCACCTGCATCCAGCAGCCACCCTGCCTGCTCCTGCTGTGGCATGGCTACAGAGGGGTCCAGCTCACCTCTGTGCACGGTGCAGTGGTGCCAGGCTCCCTGGACATCACTGCTATAGGACAAGGGTCTTACTTGGTGTGCATTCCACAGCGCTCACGGTGCCCCAGGAGCCAGTGCTGCCTTGTGCACATGGTGGGATGCTCCTCTGGGCTGGGACCTGCATGGTGTGCAAGACATGGGACTGTGCTGGGGGGCTGTTGGGTGCTGCTCTGTGACCTCTCCATTAAAGTGCAGTTCTCCATCTCCACTGCCAAGAGTTGTTTATTCACTCCTCCATGGTGCACAGCCAGGGAATGACCCTGCAGGGACAGGAGCTGCAATAGATTTCCACTCCTTAGAGACTGTTTTCATGTTGGAAAAGGCAATACAGGCTCGTGGGACTGGGAGAGGGTTAGAGGGCTGTGGCTACAGAGCCTGAGCTGAGGTGGTGGGGAGCTTGCTCAGCTCCCTGCAGAGCTGCCTGCCACTGGCTTGTGTCTTCTCAGTTTCTCTGTGTCACTGTCTCCTCCATCAGTCTGGCTGAATGCACGTAAGTGTCCCTTCTCCTTCCCCTGGGGTGTCTCCGTGGCTGCTGCCACCCAGTCTGTTCCAACACAGGCCCTTGCACGGCAGCCCCTAAGGTGGTGTACACTGCTCCCCAAGGCAGGCTGCAAGTTCCCAGGCAGTCATTGGTCCATGGCTCCCTCTGGCCACCACACTGCTGGCTGGGTGCACCTCACAGGCTGCAAATCACCTGGTCAGCATCTCACCGTGATGGTCTCAGGGTGGTCCCACCCCCATGGCATTGCTTTGCCTTGCTGAGCTCTGCCTGGTCCTTGCTTTCATGCCAGAGATGTTGGCTAGGACCATTTCCCAGTGAGATTTACATACTCCAAGGGATCTCTTGAGGGGCTGCTGGAAGCAAGGGTGCTGACCTTGGTGTGGGACTGATACCAGCCATGATAGCAGTGCCCTGCCACCATCCCTGGGCCACTGGACATCCGGGGCCATGACCCTGCTTCCCTGCCAGGATGCTTGCTGGCAGCTGCCTCTGGCCTCACCTCCAGTCCCTCTGGAGCCAGGTTATTTTTTGAAGCACTCCAAGGACACGGGTTGTTGTTGCCGATAAGCAGTGAGGGGCAGCTCCGCCCCAGCAGGAACAGCTCGTCAGGCAGCTTCCCATCCGTCCCAGAAAACATCGTCCCACCTCGGCGAGCAGCATCCCTGCAGCCCTGCTGCAGACTCGGTGGCATTCTCCATGATGCAGCACTCGGTAAGTGGTGGCCGTGTCACTTGGGTAGTCTGGGAGGCCCAAGGACAGTTGGGAATCACTGTTGGCTCTGGTGAAAACAAGTGAGATGGTGGAAAGGAAAAGCCAAGCCCAACACTGCTCTTGAGTGCAGTGTATCCCAAGTAGGCAGGGACTGCCAGAGATCTGGAGGCCACTGCCTCAAAAAGTGCCTCATGTGGGCTGGGAACAGTCATTTGGTCAAGCTGAATATCCCTCAGGAAGGTCTGATGATGCTCTGGTTGCTTGCAGAGAAGGAAGTTCTTGATGGGCAGTGAGAAATTACAGCCACTGGAGCCTGCTCCTTCTGTCCCTGAGCACAGAGCAGCGCTGCAGTGGCGTCTGCATCACCCAGTGTGTGCAGCACAGCCCCATGCTTCACATGCTCCCCCACCCCAGAGCCTGGCTCTATGCCCATGGAGACATCTCACAGGGCCACAGGCTCCCCCAGGACCCCATGGGACCACACAGGTCCCACCCTGCCTACTGCTCAGCAGGATGTGGGGATTTTAGTGAGGGTGGCACCACCCTGTCACAGCGCAGGCTGGAGTGGCACTGGGGCACAGGCAAAGAGCCCTGACCTGCCACACAGGGCAGGCATGGAGAGATTTGGGAGGGAATCACTCCCTGCTCCTGAAAGGAGAGTGTGGGGGGGTGCAGGCAGCTGGGGCTGGGGGGATGTACCATGGCCAGGGCAGCTGCCTCTACTGGTGGTGCCCCAGAGGTTGCTTCTGCTGCATTTCTGGCTGCAGAACTGCTCCCCAAGGCAGGCTGCAAGTTCCCAGGCAGTCATTGGTCCATGGCTCCCTCTGGCCACCACACTGCTGGCTGGGTGCACCTCACAGGCTGCAAATCACCTGGTCAGCATCTCACCGTGATGGTCTCAGGGTGGTCCCACCCCCATGGCATTGCTTTGCCTTGCTGAGCTCTGCCTGGTCCTTGCTTTCATGCCAGAGATGTTGGCTAGGACCATTTCCCAGTGAGATTTACATACTCCAAGGGATCTCTTGAGGGGCTGCTGGAAGCAAGGGTGCTGACCTTGGTGTGGGACTGATACCAGCCATGATAGCAGTGCCCTGCCACCATCCCTGGGCCACTGGACATCCGGGGCCATGACCCTGCTTCCCTGCCAGGATGCTTGCTGGCAGCTGCCTCTGGCCTCACCTCCAGTCCCTCTGGAGCCAGGTTATTTTTTGAAGCACTCCAAGGACACGGGTTGTTGTTGCCGATAAGCAGTGAGGGGCAGCTCCGCCCCAGCAGGAACAGCTCGTCAGGCAGCTTCCCATCCGTCCCAGAAAACATCGTCCCACCTCGGCGAGCAGCATCCCTGCAGCCCTGCTGCAGACTCGGTGGCATTCTCCATGATGCAGCACTCGGTAAGTGGTGGCCGTGTCACTTGGGTAGTCTGGGAGGCCCAAGGACAGTTGGGAATCACTGTTGGCTCTGGTGAAAACAAGTGAGATGGTGGAAAGGAAAAGCCAAGCCCAACACTGCTCTTGAGTGCAGTGTATCCCAAGTAGGCAGGGACTGCCAGAGATCTGGAGGCCACTGCCTCAAAAAGTGCCTCATGTGGGCTGGGAACAGTCATTTGGTCAAGCTGAATATCCCTCAGGAAGGTCTGATGATGCTCTGGTTGCTTGCAGAGAAGGAAGTTCTTGATGGGCAGTGAGAAATTACAGCCACTGGAGCCTGCTCCTTCTGTCCCCGAGCACAGAGCAGCGCTGCAGTGGCGTCTGCATCACCCAGTGTGTGCAGCACAGCCCCATGCTTCACATGCTCCCCCACCCCAGAGCCTGGCTCTATGCCCATGGAGACATCTCACAGGGCCACAGGCTCCCCCAGGACCCCATGGGACCACACAGGTCCCACCCTGCCTACTGCTCAGCAGGATGTGGGGATTTTAGTGAGGGTGGCACCACCCTGTCACAGCGCAGGCTGGAGTGGCACTGGGGCACAGGCAAAGAGCCCTGACCTGCCACACAGGGCAGGCATGGAGAGATTTGGGAGGGAATCACTCCCTGCTCCTGAAAGGAGAGTGTGGGGGGGTGCAGGCAGCTGGGGCTGGGGGGATGTACCATGGCCAGGGCAGCTGCCTCTACTGGTGGTGCCCCAGAGGTTGCTTCTGCTGCATTTCTGGCTGCAGAAGCTGCTTCCCCTGCAGCGCACACCTGAGGGGGCAGATTTCTGCCTCTCTGAGGCAGGGGATGAAGCTCGGCTTCTTCAGTGCAGGCTGGTGGTCTATGCTCTGCTGGGGCTGGGATCCTTCCTGGAGGAGGGGCTGTGCCTGCCCTGTCCCCCCACCTGCCAGTGCTACGATACCTCCAAAGTCTTCTGCTCGGAGGAGAGGATGCAGGAGATCCCGGTGGGCCTGCCAGGGAATGCCACCCAGCTCTTTTTTGTGGAGACAGCCCTGAGCAGCATCCGCAGTGGGGCCCTGGGCTCCAGCACCACCCTCACCAAGCTGGTCTTCCTCAACAACAACATCCAGGAGCTGCAGGCTGGTGCCTTTAGGGGGTTGCCCAGCCTCACTGAGCTGGAGGTGTCAGGCAATCCTTTGCTGGCAGTCAGCCCGGGGGTGCTGGTGGGGCTGTCCAACCTCAGCAAGCTCTCCCTGGGTGCCAATGCCATCCGCTCCCTGCAGCCGGGGCTCTTCACCGCTGCCTGCCACCTGCAGGACCTACGTTTGCCAGGGAACAAGATCGAGGCACTGCCCTCTGGCATCTTCCACCCGCTCCGCCACCTCCAGACCCTGGACCTCTCTCAGAACATGCTGTCTGAGCTGCCAGATGGGCTTCTGGCCCCCCTCACCGTCCTCCGCTTCCTCAAGCTCAGCAACAACCAGCTGGTGCAGGTGCCCCCCGGTGCTTTTGGGGCACTGGGCCAGCTGGCTGAGCTCCACCTGGATGGCAACCAGCTGGAGGAGCTGCCAGGAGGTGCCTTTGCTGGTCTGGGGGAGCTGCAGCG